TGCTTAGAATGCAGCTTCTGCTGCAGCGGATGTTGAGGGTTACTGCAAAGTGTTGGGCTGGTTGACTACAGACGGTTGCACTGTTGAAGACTGCGGCCGGCTTCGGGACTATACGGCTGCTGCATCACGTGGAGGAACGGGCCATGTGGCCAGGCTGCCCTTGCGGTATGGAGGGAAGTGATGAGGGGGATGTGGCCAGAGTTGCGAAGGGGGGTTATTGCTGCGAGTTGAGGAGTCGACCGGAGGGTTGAGTCCGATAGTATGACTCCGTTTTGACCAAGCTGTCACACTTGGCTGCCATTGTGGGGCCCTCAGGCGATACAAGATTTGAAGGCCCTCTCTCGCGAGTCTGAGTGCACCATTCTTGTATCCGAGAGTTTCAAAACTATCAACCCCTGCCCTCCTTACTCTAAGTCTAGTCTATTGGTGCCGAGAGGAAGGCAGCAGTTGGGATTGCAACCCGTAATCCGCGCCAAGGCCTCTGTGGGAGGTTCGCCCCACCGATTGCGGGAGCTCTGCCGGAGCCTAGGCGAGGCTCTAGAGGCAGGGAATTGAAAGGTAATCATTGTTTCCCCTTTGTATACCCTGATATAACCCCTACTTGTACGTCTTGCTATGGTTGACTGAGTATACTTTATGCACCCCTATTTTGGCTTTGGGTTGAGCAGGACACAACTAAGATTAAGTACAAGAATGTGTGCGCAATCTCAGTTTCAATTTTTATTGATTGTCTGAAGGCAGATTGTGAACACAAGGGGTTGCATTTGGGGGAAGGGTGGGTGAAAGGTGGTTTTGCCTAAGCGTGAATGGGTCCTATGGGGTCAGACCAGTTCCATAAGATTGGACGGCCTGACCGATATGGTTTATTTTTGAATTGCATGGAGAGTCAGACCAGTTCGATAAGATTGGACGATCTGATTACTCTAAATTGTGAGGGTTTGACTGTGGCTGACTTTTCAGGGGTCAAACCTGTACCATAAGATTGGAGGGTTTGGTTGCCATGTTTCATTGGCGTTTGTTCTGTTTTTTTTGTTTCTGATCAAGGAGGTTTGAGCAAGTCCATAAGATTGGACGGCTCAGCCCCCCCTCTTGTTTTATTCTGAGGGGATAATCCTTGCCGAGGGCAGGACATGTCCATAAGATTGGACAACCTTGGACTCATGCTGTACACAGTTAGGTCAGAGAGAAACGAGCGTGACAGAGGACCAGACCAGTTCCATAAGATTGGACGGTCTGGCCCAACGCCTCGCACATGCTGGAACCCAAAGGGTTAAATTTTGGCTATATTTTATACTATCCTATGTATGAACAGGCTAGCCAGGCATGGGTTCCATAAGATTGGACGGCCTGGCTATAGCTTATTATAAAATGAAGAGAGTATAATTAAGAGTATAATTGAAAGTAACCCTAGGCAGGTCGGGCCCTGTTCTAAGATGAACGGCTCGGTCTTATGCCCATCTTTTGAACACCAAGCTCAAAGAGGTATATATAAGTTGGATATTAAACAGTTCTGGGTGACTAAGCCTTGTTCTAAGACGAACGGCCTAGTCGTATGCCCAAAAAGAAAAGAGAACTAGTTGTGCAACCTGTTCGTGTATACTCAATGACTGAGTCAGGCAAGTTCCATAAGATTGGACGACTTGACTTTATGCCCTATGTAAGCTGGGTATAAGGGGATAAAGCATTGAGAAGTTACAAACTATTGTTTGCAAAGATTGATTTGGGGTGGCGAGAGTACTTACCTTTGTGGTTTGGCCTGCATGAGGCTGAGTGAGGCTACTACTTGGTTTGAGTGTCAGGTTGACAGGTGCTAGAGACTCGCCTCGTGCTAGAGCGATAGGAGTTAGGTCAATTCTTGCATTTTCTGAGCTAAGTTTTTTACTTAGATCAATTCTTGCATTTTCTGGGATCTTTTGTTATACTTTGCTTTGTATAAAGTTTGGTAAGCCACTTTCTCTACGGGAAGCGCTGCCAAAATTTCTACAAATCCGGGGAGTTAGTCAATTCTTGACTTTTCAAGGTTCAACCCGTCTAAAGTTTATGTATGGCTTAGTAAAAATTTGGAAAGTCTCCTTTTCTAAAGGGAGTGCTGCCCAAATTTTTGCTAATTCAGGGAGTTAGACAAAATTGGACTTTGGAAAGTCAAAAACTATTTCTGTTCTCATATTCGGGCTGATATAAATTCTGAAAAGACACTTTTCCTACGGGAAGCGCTGCCAAAATTTTCTTGATTTAGAGGAGTTAGATTATATTCTGACAGATGACGATTCTGGCTATCCACCCTGAAGAGGGAAGATCCTGCCGTTAGTCTACCTTTGCTTGGGCACTGCCTTAGGGGTAGACTTTGATTTAGTTGGTAGGTAACTTGGGTGAGAATGTGCTATGGAGGGTCATCCCCCGTATGCTGATGATTTAGCTTGGGCATTGACCTGTCTTATGGTACATGCCTTTCTTGGACATTCGATTCAGGACTTGGGCTAGTTCAGCTTGATCCTGCAAGGATCATCATCTGTTATCACTGATAACAGGTCGGTTGCTGATTTGTCGGCTCAAGACTCAATTCTTACTCGCTCCCCATACTTAACCTAAAAGGCTTTAGCCCTGGTGATCTTTTTGTTTGTTAAGGGTTTCACCCGGACTTTTATTGAATGACCATTAAACAAAGGTACTGAGTATTTAATTGAGGTTGGTTGGCTGGAGGTTGGGGTTTGCATGGCTAAAGCGAGGGGTATGAGTATAGGAACTGGTTGAAGTTGACTCCGCGTAGTGGGTGGACTCTTGTCTGACTTTTGATGTGATTGCAGGTATGTTCAAAGACTTGGGGTTTTGGTTGGGCTGCCCTGCGGTCGCATATATATGTATGGCTAGGAGGAGACCCACTATGACTGTGAGAAGTGATCGTCACATAATTATCCCCCTTGTGCATATATATATATATGTGTCAGTGCATGTGTACCTACGTGTGGAGCTAGCGTGGCCTGAAGTGCCCGCGTATTAAGGGTCAGTCGAAGGTTGGGGTGAATAGAAAGAGGGGGGGATATCCCTCGCGAATTTTTGTTTCTTTTCCTTGTTGCGATTCATCTTCGTGGAATGATAAAGTTCCGGGCGGAAGGGTCAGCGTGTTGTTGGTGATGCGCCAGACAACTCACTACCGCTCCAAACTCCCTCCTGCCCTAGGGGTCGTCTTGCCCCGCACCCGTTGGGACACCTCAGGGTGCGGAAGACGAAAAGGCCCTCAGGCCGGTTTTGCGCGCGCTATAGGGTTATCCTCATTGGCTCGCGCTTTAACCTACGCCTGAACGTCGAAAGGTGACCCCTTGGCTCAGAGTAGGCCGTTTGGGTGTGGGCACTACATAATGCGCCGTCATCGCGGTTACTCGCGTAGAGCTGCATAGCGAGATAGTATGTGTAAGTCCAGCGCCCTCGCGATCTTATACAAAGTTCGCTCGCAGCACTCGTCGCATCCCACACTAAAAGAGTTATGGGTCAGGCGGCGAGATCACGAGCGCGACACGGCCAGTAGACTTGGGGGTCTTGGTAGCGTAAAGCGGCACGTGGGCGGAGGACTTAGCCCCAGTCAGCCTATGGGAGTCCGTGTACGACCCTCATTATCCAGGACGCCGGGTAGCCTATGGGTAGGATACCGGATCTCCTCCACGCGTGCGTCGTTCGGGCTTATCCACCCTCTTTCATTTTAGAAGGCCATCAACAAATGGGGGTTGGAGTGAGTCTCCCTTTTGTGTTTTCATGGTTGGACGTTATAGTCCGTGGCGGCCGTCAAAGTCAAACCCCTTAATGTTCGACCGCCACGACAGCTTAAAGCTGTCTACTCAACCCCTCTGCACAGGGTGCAGAAGAGGGTGTGGTCTCCAACCGCGCACGGCGGTTGTCTAGCGTCGAGAGATTAACCCTCAAGGCGTGTGTCAGCCGACACTTGAGTGTCGAATGCGACCCTCGAAATTAACGAGGGTCGCACGATTATGGGCACGACATAGTACGCCGTCATTGCGACTGCTCGCGTACGTTTGCATTGCGAGTCGATATGAGTTAGCTCTGCGTCCGCGCGGTTTTATATTAAGTCTCGCGCGCGACGCCTATCCGATTTCCGGATTGGAAAGTTATGGGTTGGCTACCGAGGGGCTAGGAGCGTTGTCGCGTTGTTTGTGTTGTGTCGTTTGTGCAACGTGTGCGTGCGCGTATGTTTTGTTTTATGTGTTCGTAGAGTGGTGTGCGCGTGGTGTGTGGGATGCGTCCCAGTCGACCGACGTCGAGCCACGCTTGGGACTTCAGCCCCCCAAGATGTGGGCCCACGCGTGGGTCCGATAGGCATATTACCACGCGTACCCCCTATGCTACAGCGAACGAGAAATGCCCTCGGCCCGTCCCTATGCTACAGCGAACGAGTAGTTTTTGTACTGTGGACTAGTAGCTCAGCGGGGATACGCCCACCGAAGGGAGGTGACAGCTCCCGTAAGGTGGAGGTAAGTTGTGCCTCGCGTAGGCCCTATCCTGTCGTAGGGGCTCGCGAGAGGTATGGCTGGCGCACTCGGCCGGAGCGGCCTAAGGAAGCTCCATTTGTGTGTTCACAACGAGGTTGGTCCAATTCCTGCGTGACGCGGTCGAGAGGGTCCCGCGCTGCCACGTGCGGTGCCGGACCGATTGCGCTCGACAGGTGGCGCCGTTGCGGGGGATGACGGAAGCCTACCGTTGTCCCTGGTGGAACGATATCCGGGTACGAGAATGAGAGAGAACTAGGCACGTGAGCAAATAAGAAAAGAAGTATGAGATGGATCGTATAGTAGTCTATATGGCTGTGTGGGTGTGAATGTTGATCTGATTGGTGGTTTGGCTGATGGCATGAACGAGGTGAGTATGTGAGTGAATTATGTGATGAGAATGGGTCTTACTTAGGTGAACCCAAGGGAGGTAGGAAGCAGAGAGAGAGATGTCTGCCAGGTCCAGAGCGTCGAGTGCTTAGGTGGTCGGTCCGATAGGATCGTGAAGGAATGGACTGCTGAGTGGAACCTTTCGTCCTATCGCTTCTTATAACAGGGGGATTGAAGCCGAAGGCAGTTAATCAAAATGCCTGAGGAGATGGCGGACGGTGGGAGAAAGCTTGTAACGCTCAACGACCTCATTGATGTCCTGGATAAGCGTGATAGAGCGCCGAGCAATGTCCCGAAGGTTGATACCTTCCACTTCAAGGGAGAACGGGTATCCGACTGGCTGGACCTGACGGAGCAAACACTCGTGGGGCTGTTGGACGAGGTCAAGCTCCAACGAGTTCTAAGATATGTCCTTCATAGCCACCATCAGGAAGTGGGCAAGGTCATGGATGCCGCCAATGGTAGTTGGGCGAGGTTTAGGGACATGATGCAGAGAAAGTACAGGTTGGGGGATGGTTTGTTAACCATGGCGGATTTGGAGGCCATGAACAAGGATGACTTCTCCACGATTGGGGCGTTTGTGCACGAGTTTAAAAGGAAGGCGCAGAAGGTGCACGAGATCTCCGAAGAAACGCAGTGTGCCATATTTTTGGGTCTGCTTATTGGCTTGGAGGCCTCGGAGCTGACGGGTCACGGAGGGGGAAATGAGAAACTCACCTGGGCCACTATCGACAAAGGGGTGGAAGAGGGGAGCCTAGACCAAGTGGAGCAGCACCAGGTGCGGCTGCAAAGGCGCAAGAGAAAGGAAAGGGACGCCACCGCGTCCGGGACCCTAGGGGTGAAGAGGATCGTTACGGACGTATTGGCAGCGCTGGGGTATGATAATGAGGCGAAAGTGCAAAAGAGGGGAGTGACCGTGGCCCAAGGCCGGGCGTCGGGGGCAGCGGAAGAGGAGGCTAGGTGCGAGGACTATGGCGGAAAAGATACGGGCTCCTAGATCCTAACCAAGGCCCAAAGGAAGCAGCGAAATTTACAAGTCGTGGGTCAAGGATCCGGAAAAGGGCAGGTCCCGCAAGCGATTGCTGCGCCGCCACCTGCTGCCACGACAACGTCAGCGACGGTCGGGCCGTCATGTATGGGGCCGTTGCCGGCTTGTGGGTACTGGGTGCCGCATTGTCAGCCTGCATCCTGGCCTAGTTGTAATCACTGCACCTCATGCGGGGGTAGTCAAACTCACGCTGGGCAAATGCTCCCTTATGCGGGCCTAGCGGCAAGTATGGGGCCCCCGAGCTACCCTGCCGTTCAGGGTCAGTTTGTGGCCCAACCACCTCCCTCCCAACAGGCCTCGCAGGCTAGCGTGGCCGGTGGAGGAACCCAAGGACAAGGCGGACAAGGCAATGGAGGCCGAGCTCAAGGGGGTCGAGGAGGTGGCGGTCGGGGCCGATGAGGAAATGGTGGGGGTCGCAGAGGTGGTTGGGATGGTCAAAGGGGCGAGGACCAAGGTGGCCGAGGCGGCCAGGGAGGGGGCCAAGGGCTTGGGAGGCCCCACTTTGATTGGCGAAATGCCACCTGCTGGCATTGTGGCGATGTAGGCCACACGGTGCGGTTCTGCGAGCGGCGGCGGGAGGATGAATTGTCAGGGTTAATCTCCTCTTGTATGGACGGGGACATATATGATAAGTGGGGTGAGCATATTGACCCCAGGACCCCAGGAGGAATCAGGCAAGAGGCTCTCCGATGAGCAGCAGCGGGACCCACAGCACCCCCGACAATGTTTAGGATGTGGCAGGAGAAGGAAGAGCCGACCGTAAGAGTCGAGGAGATTGTAGGAGATAGTGAGGAGGTCACTCAGCGACTAAAGGCGGGGACTAGAAGGGAGGAGCCAATAGTCATCAAATCGGATGACGAGGGGCAGGAAGACGAAGCAGAGCCGACCATAGTCCTCCTTAGGAGGATGGAAGATCTGTTGGAAAAGGTGGGAAGGTACCAGCGGAAGCTGCAGGCCCTGTGTGAAGAAGCTCGAGAGTGGGAGGCCAATCTGCCTGAAGTCTTCCTCTACGACTCCGGACCTGAGCCTTCGCCAGGGCAACAGGGGTACCCAAGAGTGGCGATTGAAGGGACGGGCCCTAGGTCAGGTATGGCCTATAGACCCCGCACGTCGCATGGGAGGGTGCCGCAGGCGGCTCGGACTAGGAGCCAAAACAAGGTCGGGCCTAGCCAAGAGCCCATTCAGGCACCCCCTCGAAAGGAGCCCGAGCCAGGACGTAGGAAGGAGGTGGTGGAAGTTCCGGAGGAAGAAGAAGAGGATGAGAGGCTCCGACAAGAGGAGGATCAACGAGCGGAGCTGAGGGCCAAAAAGAGAGGAGCCCGGGAGGAGGCCGAACCAAGTCTGCCTGACAGCGTGCCCAAGAGGAAGAAGTATACGGTCCGGATGGAGGAAGGCTTTGATATGGAGCGGATGGTGGACAAGCTCCTGGAAGGCCACAATGACCTGATGAACCTGAAGGACATCCTGGCGTCGGCACCAAGGCTCCGTGGGGAGTTGAAAGGGCGCCTCTCACGAAGATTGGTGCCAAATGTCCATCTGAGTATGGTCCTGCCCAGGGAGGTGGAGTGGACTGAGGCAGGGACAAGGATGGATTGGAAATGTGTGGCATGCGGGCAGGTGGATTTGGTGATAAAGAACCAGAAGTGCACTGGGATGGTGGACACGGGCGCAGAAATGAATATCACCACGGAGAAGGAGGCGGTGATGATAGGCATGGAGATTGACCGCTCGGACCATGGCATGCTGCACGGCGCCAACTGCAAGGCCGTTTTTTGCGGCACAGGGTCTAATGTGATTATAGAAATTGGGAAGGTGAGAGTCAGRACGTGCTTCTTTGTCATGCCCGAYGTCGATCATCCCATCCTTYTGGGAAGGTCGTTCCTGTGTCGAACGGAGATGTTGATTTTTAATAAGCACGATGGGACAATGATCYTGCTCCTATGCGACCYAGCGTGCGGGAACTACGAAGTTGTCACCTGCCGAAACACGGGGCCGGGGAGYGGGAGGAATAGGCCTCATCTCGGCTCATTCATCTTCGAGGAATCGGAGAACGAGCGAAAACGGCTTTGGGAAGCGCCTGAGGGGGAGGATAAGGCTGAGGTGCTGACACTGAGCCTCACAGATGTGAATAAGGCCATGGAGGTGGTGTCAACTCATGACATGGCGGATCCGGAGGCCATTAAGGCATTGAGGGAGCAAGTTTTGGAGAACCCTCAAGTGGGAGAGGTGGAGTTGGTGTATCGGCTTCCGGGAGGGGGAGGAGGCCCTGCAATGGTGCAGGCCCGAAYGACAAGTCAGGCTTTTGTAGGGGAGGGCTTAAGCAGGGCTCCCGAAGGCGGTACAAGACCGTAGATAAGAAGTGTCGCCCAGTCCCCGTGCTCGTCACGRAGGATGAGGAAGCCTACTACGAGCGGGAACGAGGATTGATACGGCGTATGCGRGAGCACGCGTTGGTCGGGCCGTGCCGTATCAACGACGAGAATGAGGGRAAGTTGATAATCGGGGAGCTCGASTTCCTGTCGCCCCAGGAGAGAGCGTTGATGGTGGGACTGATGAAGAAAAGGCACCGTGCATATGCGTTCAATGACGACGAGCGTGGGAGGCTGGATGTGGACAAGATTCCGATGATACGAATCCACACTSTTCCACATGAGTCTTGGAATCTAAGGGGCGCACGATACCCAAATCCGGATGAGGAGAAGAAGGTGGTGGACTACCTGGACGGCAAGATGCGGACGCACATGGCCGACTATTCTAGCGGACCGTACACGTCGCCTTGGTTTTGTTTTACTAAACCAAATGGGACGCTAAGGTGGGTGCAGGACTTGCAGCGGTTAAATGCGATGACAGTGCGGGGCGCGGGAGGGTTGCCGAACGCGGACGCGCGGTCAGAGTCGTGCGCAGGGAGGCCTATAATCTTGCTCATAGACCTCTACTCTGGGTACGGCCAATTTTCTGTATACCGGCCAGACACGCCCGTAACGGCGATGCACACACCCAGAGGGTTGATTCACATGAACGCGGCGCCTCAAGGTTGGACGAATGCAGTAGCGATGGTGCAGAGGCATATGATCAGAGTCATGAAGACGGTCAGCCCACATATCATCCAGCCCTATATCGATGACCTGGCGGTCAAAGGTCCGAAGGAGAAAGAGGAAGACGAAGTGATGCCCAGTGTGCGGCATTTTGTCTGGAAACATGTCCAAGACATCGATCAGGTTCAGGGGTTATTGGAGGAACATAACCTGACGGCGAGCGGCCCCAAGTCGAAATACTGTATGAGGGAGGCCACGATTCTAGGTTTTGTCTGTAATGAGAGTGGGAGAAGGCCTGACGAAAAGAAAACAGACAAGATTCTTGCGTGGCCGGTGCCCTTCCGCTCGATAACGGATGTGAGGAGCTTTCTTGGGACGTGCGGATTTTGGAGGAGCTTCGTGAAGGACTTCGCCACGAAGACGGAGCAATTAAGGAAGTTGGTGCTCCAGGATCAGGAATGGGTCTGGGGCGAAGACCAGGAAAAGGCGGTCGGTAGGATGAAAGGAGAGTTTAAGGAAGGAGGCTTGGTATTGGGAGCGCCAAACTACGAGGCCACGGAGGAGAAACCATTCGTCATTGAGACGGACSCTGGGCCAACTGCCTTGGGAGGAGTCCTGATTCAGGCAGATACTKAGGGGAAGGAGAGGCCGCTAAGATTCGAAAGTCGCACCCTCAATACAACTGAGAGGAACTACTCTCAGTTCAAGAAGGAGAYGCTGGCGGTACTTCATTGCCAAAGGACCTTCCGGAACTATGTTTTTGGTAGGAGGCTAATCTTGAGGGTGGACCCTACTGCAATGGCATGTTCCCTGAAGAATTATACTCCATCTGACCCAACCGTCGCCAGATGGTTGACCTACATTTGGATGTTCAATTTCGAGTTGGAAAGGATCCCAGGGGACAAGAACAAGGCGGATGGGTTAAGCCGCATCAACTAAACGGATCGGACGAGGAATCGATCGAAGACACCCCACCAGTTGATGGGTTCTTGGATCAAGAGGAGGACGTCTGCCTGCACATAAACGAATGGTCCCGGCTAGTCCCTAGTTGCGTCAGTCACCCCATATGGCTAGCACCAAAGGGGTACGAGCAGAAGGAAGAGTTAGTCCTCAAGCCCTTTCAGGAGGAGGATCCGTGGGGAAGTAAGGATGTTGGTTGGATGATGAAGTTGGCGTTGGCAGGTACGCACAGTCTGGTGGAGGAAGCGAGGACAATAGAGGAAGGCCCCACTCAGGTAGGGGAGCATGAGCAGCTAATGGGAGGGATGTACTTGCTCACCAATACACTCATGCAGGGAGACTTCGACCGGAGGGGCTCGTTCAGTCACGATGAGAATGAGATTTTGGTTCTTGAAAGCCGAGACGACGAATTCGAGGAAGGAGAAATCAAGGAGGCGTTTCGGGCGGAGGAGTACGATGGGATCTACCGGGAATTGGGGTTGCTCCTATCATGTGAGATGAGGGATAGAGATGCAAGTGCMAAGRYACAGAAGATGAGGCACCTCTATGTGGTAAGAGACGGCCACTTGTTTATAAAGCGGCAGGTCGGGAACCCMAAGAGGATTGTATGTGGGAGAAAMYGRCAAATTGATATCATAGCGGCCSTAMACGAYGGTAYAGCAGGGGGSCACARAGGAGTAGGTGCCACATGCGCRAAGATAAGCGAGCTCTACCATTGGGACGGGATGCTGAYGATGGTTATCAAATACTGYCGGTCYTRTATACCTTGCCAAGAGAGGTCAGCGCGAAGGCCTGGAGAACCCCTACACCCAAGGTTAGAAACAGAAGTGGGTGMGGTCGTACACCYKGACYTGTTATTCATGCCARCAGGGGAGAATGGGTGTAACTACATCTTCGATGCACGGGATAACCTTACTGGGTTTGTGGACGGACGAGCTATCCGGACGAAGACTGACCCGGTTTTGGCGAACTGCATCGAGGAGTATTACCTGCGATACCCTTTTGTCAGGGAGTTCGAGATGGATCGAGGATCAGAGTTTACCTGCAATGAGGTGAGGACGTTGCTTGCAGGGTATGGCGTAGTGCCCAACTATACTACGGACGCACACTCTCAAGCGAACGCTCCTGTGGAGAGGGGGCACGGTACCATCACGAAGCTCTTGGCTAAGTGGACAGAGGGCAAACCTGGTCAGTGGCCGAAGTTCCTACGGGCAGCTTTCTTCATGGAGAATGTTACTATAAAGAGGACTACCAAGTACGCGCCAGCCACGCTATGGTACGGAAGGCATGCCACCTTTCCCATAGAAAGCTTTTTGAAGATGTGGAGGTGCCAGGACTTGGATGTGAACCTGTTTTTCAAAGAACTGCTCGATATTCGGGCACGGYAAGTGGGGGCGGCCGAAGAAAGATTGCGAGAGGCCTCCTGTCAGGTGGAAAGGAGTCGCATGGAAGATAAGATGAGGTGGGACCAGATGGCACGAGTAAGAAAGGAGCCACTGGCAGTAGGGGATGTCGTATTATTATACGACTCCTCTTTGGAAAAGCAATGGTCAAGGAAGCTTGACAAGAGATGGTTGGGCCCCTATAGAATATTGTGATGCGGCGAATTTGGGGCATATCAGATCGAGGAGCTGGACGAGACAGGCTGGCAGGATTGGCTATCAGGGACCAGGCTGAAGAAGTTTGTGGCCAGGGAATAGGTAAAGAATTCTACCTTTCTCAGAGTAGACTGGTCCTTGAGGTATCGCATGTTATGGTCAGGACAGGTGAGGGAGTAGAAAAAAGCATGTGTATTGTCATAAAAACTTGATGAACCGAGTTCTAACCTTGTTGTGTGCCTTCTTGCTTTCTCTCGCCTGTTGTGCAGGTCTGACTTTTTGAAGACAACCATGCAGAGGGGCAGAAGGGGCGCTCGGCCACGACAGAGGCCTCAGGAAGCATTAGGAGGGGATGGCCCGCGCAGACCGGTTGGGAGGGAGTCTACGCCTATCTTCGACGACGGTAACATAGAGCTTTTTCTGGACTCCTACCAAGCACATGCGACACGGGAGGGACGGTGTACCTTGGAGAGTCTACGGCACCTGAGGGGAGTTGGGCGCTTTGAGGAGCCTATTGCGCACATCCGGGAGGAGGCTTTGACCTAGCAGGTAGTGGAGGCGAGGATGCAGATGCTGAAGGCTTCGCCGTTGGGACCGGATGGGTCGCCTATTCGATTGGAGGAAGGCAATGCGGAGGAGTTTATCCCTGCCTATGAGCAGTATATGCGCGACCAGGGGGCTCGGCAGGAGGAGTGGATGCAGACGTTGCCCCTCTGGACACGGAGGGCGGAGAGGACAATGGCGAGGCAGATCCGAGACAAGGCACGCGATTGGGAGGACTGCCAGGCTCAACTGAGACAGGTATTTCGACGACTGGAGCCTGAGAGACCAGAGCCCTGGGTGGAGAGGCGACAGAGGAGTAAGAGGCCACGAGACTCAGAAGGGAGAGGAGCCACTATGACCAGAGGGGGCCGAAAGGCCTTAGCACAGCAAGAGGGGCCAGCAGAGGCCGCCCAGGCGGTGGAGCCGGTTCAGGCCGTGGGGCCAGCTCAGGCGGCAGAGCTGCCCCCTACCCATGGACTCGAGCGAAGGAGTTTCGCCGAATCACGGACAGTGATCTATGGGGCCCGTCGCCGACGTTACCAGAGGGTGGAGAGGCAGTGTCATTGAGAACGCTGCTCGACAGGTTGGAGGTTCATCTCGATGCGTCCCAGTGGGGGGCGTCACAGCTGGGAGCGGACCAGAGCGGACCAGAGCGGACTGGCGCGGTATGAGCCAATAGAGGATGAGCCGGAGAAGGAGTCACCTGAGCCGGGGCCCGAGGCGGGGTCTCGTGGACCCGAGGAGCCGCAGATTGAGGGGATTATCACTGTTGGGGATGATACCCCTCCTCCTGCCCCGATTCCGGAGCAGACGCGGCAGTATTGGCTTGAAGGGATTCCTGAGCCGGACAGCGAGGAGTTGTTGGGGCCTCCATCGGAAGCTACTACGCCACCTCCGACGCAGGTGGAGCCAGAGGAGGGCGAGAGAGCAAGGGCACCTACTACTATGGTACCACAACTAACTGAGCCTACAGGTGAGCKCATGGACATGGAGGTGCCGACATCCGGGGAGCCCCCGCCAGGGCCGCCGCCCGCAGAGGAGGGGGCGAGTGAGAGACATCCATTGCGAGAGGTTCACGAGGCGGGGACAGGGAGGTCACCAGGGAAGAAGAGAGAAGAGAAGCGCGCAAGGGTGCAGGTACGCCTCTAGGAGCTATACCAGGAAAAACTTAGGATGGAGGCCGCAGGAGAAGTGCCAAAGTCGCCAATTGACCCTCCGACGAGCGAGCAGAGGATTAGCGAGGCTTGGGCCAACTATAAGAGTGAGAGGGACGCTGCTCGCCTGAGGTCGCGAGAGGTAGGACAGGGGAATGCGGGGTTGGACAAGGCACGAGAGACAGAGGACTTGGGATTTTCAGCYGCCAGGATGGAGATTGAGCGTGCAGATAGGAGGATAGGTGAGGTGGCGATCTCGTCCTTCCAACGGTACTCCATGCTCAGTGATGAGTTGGCGGCCTCGAGGTTAGAGGTGGGGCARTTGTCCACCCAGTWGGYGGAAGAGAGGGCMGAGAACCAAGCATSGAGGTCCCGTATGGAAGTCAAGGAGGCGGAATGGGAGAAGAGGCTCCAGGACATKGCGRCAATGGTAGAGAGGCTCTCGGCCACTAAGGTGGTCGACTGGACGGAGCAGAGCCGGTATGGTATCCAGGGGAAGGAGGTACAGGGGCTCTTTGGCCAGGAAGGAACGACAGAGATGCCACAGCAAGAGGGAATGGGACAGGTATTCCTGGACCCAACAGAGGCAGCGGCAAGGCGGGAGGCCGAGCAGAGGAGGTTCAGCTTCAGGACTCCCACGGAGTTGGCCTCGCAACAGGCCACCCCTATGACGATTGAGATCCCTGAGGGCGAGCTGGCGCAGGGACCCCAACCTCCAGTGGAGGAAGGTGGCCCCACAGAGGAGTCCCCTACGATCCTTTTGGAGATACAGGAGGGTGCCCTTACGGGAGCAGAAGCATCCACTGAGCCGGAGGCAATGGGGGGAGAGGCGTCTCGACTGGATGAGTTAGTGGCAGCTATGGAGTTGGACATGCCGTCAAGAGAGCCTCAGAGACAGAAGACCCCAGAGCATGTGCCAGAGATAGGGGAGCTGAAGACGCAGTTAGGCTCTTGGGTTACAGGAGCTGACTCAGGAGAGCACATCTCAGAGCAGCAGCAGGAAATTATGAACGAGCCAGTGACTGCCGTGACTCCCCAGCCTTCTGACCTGCATAGGGACGAGGGGGCGAATGCGAGGGGAGGAGTCCGTGAGGGTAGGCCACTGGGATTGGACACTCCAGCGTACCGACCCGAGGGTTGTGACGCGCTAGCAGGGCCGAGTACCCAGATGATGGAGACGGGGCCGGCAGAGTCATGGAGTATGCCCCAGAGCCATGAGATGAGCAGGGAAACTAGCGAGACGCCGCCGTTGCCTGGGTCCTAGAAGAAGAAGAGGAGGTGTCGAGGGAGATCAGACGATCAGTGCTTCTTCTCCAAGGACGGCGTACATAGAGCTTTTGAATGCCCGAAGTTCCTTAAGGACAAGGCGGCTGGGAGAGTAATAGAGAGTGGTGGRAGAATGTACGACAGGCAGGGGCGAGTGGTAGAGCGGGCTCCAGATGGGGGTAGGGCACAGTTATATAGACAGAACCAGGAGGCTATGAGTGAGTAGGGACTGTTCCGTCTATATGACAGTAGGATTAGAGCTCCTCTGTACGCAGAGGCCGTGATAGGGGTGTACATACTCTGAGTTAGTCACGCGAGTCCCGTCTAGTTGTATATACATAGGTGGCGGTGTGTGATTGGCTTGAGCTTTATATGTGATACGGTCTAGGAGATGAGACTTAGTTGTATGATATCTACGACGTACATGACTTGCATTTTCATTTGTGTGATTCAGATACTCTTACTTGTATCTTTGAGTAGGTTCTGAGAGTCCATGACACTTGGGACGTGAGTTTATCCTGCGGAGTGAGACAGTGGAGTGAGTATTTGAGTGTTTTCGGGGCAGGCATTTTGTTCCCAAATACGCCCYACGAGTTGTGTGTTAAGGGTTTGAGTTGAGTGTCGTATTGAGACTTGAGGGAGATATTTTGCTCCCGAGTATATCTTTGATTCCAGACTCTGTGGGACTTATTCTTGTGACGATCACGATCACTCTCACACATGTGGCTTTATCCCAATGAATGAGGGCTTTGTCTGAGAGATGTGTGGGATACATCTCATGTATGTGTATTGTGTGATTGTGATTGTCGTCTACTCTTCGGTATACTCGTGCGGTCTGCCCATGGGCGGGCGGAACGGCCGGGTATAAGAGGACGCAGCGTGGTCATTTTTATGACAGATGTATGAGGACCCTGAGGGGTCTTGCGAGCCTATAAGGCTCGGATTCTTACCATACCGAATGTTTATGGCTGAGCTGTGAAGAGGACCCATAAGTTGGCCCCTTAGTTTGAGTTGTTTTGCGTTTAAGTTGGGGAGACGGCCCATAAGAAGGCCCCTCAGTTGAGTTGTTCTATAATTGAKACCCCCTYAGATTATGGAAGGTGGGAATGTTGTTTATTGACAGCAGTGTAACCYAGTTCGCGTGATAGTCCATCCTGTATAGAGAGGGGTGGCTGGGAGGCCTGTTGTGAGAGACCCCCGTCATGTGAAAAATGGGTGATAAATTTAAGGACATGGTAAGCAATGTTTGAATGATAAAGTYTGACGAGAGGAACCAAGGTTACGGGTTGGAATCATTGGTGGAACTGAGAAGGTCGCAAGTCAGTGCATAAAGATATCGTGGGATGTGTGGTCTGCTGTCTCTGATCAAGTTAGTAGGCCACGGCCTCGTGTGAGCCTAGCGGTGAAATTGTTTGTGATTGTGAGAAGGGGCCGTGCCCTCTATATTGTCCCATAGGGGGCTGGTAAATACCCTTAAAAGTAGGGCAGATCCCTGCGTTGTCCCGCAGTGGCCCTGTAAGTTTGTTTTGCGACGCACTGCCTAGACACCTGTGCTAATCCTAAGGCATATTAGGGAATACCAAGCTATACGGTAAAGGTTAGCACCTCTAGGGCGCAAGCCTTATTGGATGGCTGCAAGCCAGCACAACCTGGCTGCGGGCCCTCGTTTACCCTCGGAGTAAGAGTTTAAGGGGTTACGCAAGCCTCAAAGAAATTAGTCCGGCGGGGTGGCGGGGGATACGGTCGAGTCGTTCGAGCGCCCTGATTGAATGCCTATCAGCAGAAAACCTATCGTTGCATAACCAACGGAGAGACTCCCGCTAAAATAACAATGCMGTGGGTCGTAGATCTGGCTCGATCAACCAGACTATGGTGGGCCAAGATTGGGACCTAGCCTTTCTGTACTAGGCTGCAGAAAGGGCTGAGAGGAGATTTACGTATGTATATATATGTTTGATTGTGAGGACTTTCGCGAGGGAGGCGAGAGCGCCTTCCGAGGTCCCGGCTAAGGCCCGCGTCCCCGTATGACTCTGCTTACGAAAGAGAGTCTAACTGGGACACCCAACGAAAAGYCAGCGTTTGTCTARGACGAAGGGGAAAGGACRGTTTGAGGTGGYCTTTGGAACTTYTGYTGTAGTATTGATGCKTAATACACCTGCGTCCTAGCGTCAGGACACTGGAAACCCAGGTTGAAACCCTGGCAGCATATAGTTATGTCGGCATGGAGTGTTGGAGGCCTCAACCCTAAGTCTGTCGGCTAATCGGATTGGTTCCATTCTCGTCAACATTTGGAGTGTGGATGARTTTATAGCTTCWSATTTGGCGTAGCGACRGGGACGTCGCTTAATATAGTCCGGTAGGYTGTCGRCGYGAATACCCTYACAAGGGTATCCGCCCTGGTTTTTGCAGATGACAGGGAACAATGAGTTTGGTCGAAATAAGYCGTGCRAGGCACGATCGCGTCCGAGACCCGCCTTGGTWMAGTTAGGGGGTATGTGGGCGCGCAAATTAAGRYGMGCRTGTGATTTTCTTGATTGAGTGAACRGYCGGCCTAGTCRACCAGCCTGGACCRWGCTACGGTTTTGACTWAGRGATAAAAGTCCRCTTTGGGGTCGGCATGMGCRACCGAYKGTAGGACTGGCGCGCRGGGTGGCCCRTGGGATAGCCACGGCGCGGTTCAAGTAGGCTGGTGTCGGTGCCTGGTGATRGCGTGCCGGYCGTGGTTGGACAGGAAGSCCCAGRCTGTTGTTCCCAGGCCTAAGCACGGCGCGGCACCACCTCATAKTGGASTCCGCRCTCCGTTGCACCAAGCTRGGGCATAGCCCTATAGGTTACGGTGTCGGAYTACTAYTACGRGGATTCAGGGATSAAGGCCAMCGGKCGTCGRCGCASCAGCAGCGGAGCATCGTGGGGGAAGCTRAAGGGGTTGAGGGCCYGACGGGGCTATCCCCCCTCKGTTTTGTTAATAGGGRCGGTGACGGACCTGGTCCGCGGGACCAGTGGGGTTTTAGCAGTCCCCGCACCCTGCTTGGRGATTTTTGTTATTTTATTTTTGTTTTWTWTAYATATATATTGGAGGGCCWWTGGTTTGGGGCGCGGCACCGYGGCGGGTGGTTTAAATTTTGGGGAGCCGCGGGTGGGGTACCACCGCGGCTAGGTCTGTTGGAGTATCCGTTAGAGATGGGAGATTACGGGGGAGGGGGTTTCGTTTGGCCACGGTGCACAACGGGGGTGCAAAGGAGGCCRGGGATGAACCCGGATGCTGATAAGGCCAGATACGCGCGACAGGCCAAAGGGGCGGCATCCGCACCCCATTTCTGCGGGCAGGCCAAATGGCCTTTGGTACCGGCGCGGGGCATTGTCGGGCCTCGCAGCATCTGGGGCCGGGGTGATGTCAATGGGGAGGGCGGTGGCTGAACCGGGGCGGAATCCCGCGCYAGGTGCATGCCGGGGGCGAGGGTGTTTCGGGGTCACGAAGAAGGTGCGGGGCGTGGCCACGGCCGGGGTCCTTCGGAACATCCGTTAAAGTTGGAGCGGCCCCGGGAAGCTTGCGTGGCRCGATGCRACGGCGGCACACATAAATCGAGAGAGAGGTTTTCACTCGACGTTTTGYTGCTGCGCTCGTCGAGTCGATWTTTGTGCCGTCCGCGCCACGCTSCGCTAACCACGTTGACTTCAACAACAGGGAAGACRAAAAGGATGGCCRGCGAAGAAAGGGGGGYCGTATGTGMGAATCCCGACTRAATCGGGCACAGAGAGGGAGTCGGGCTGGARAGGCGACCWGGGAAGGTGGGAAGAGGAGGCKTGAACCGGGGCAGRGTTCCSGGKCGGATGCGTTTAGTACAGGCGGGACGMTGCGGGGTGTGTACAGAGGGAGCCGGACCGCRGAGGGGCGGAGCGGGGAGAAGAGCACGGTAGGGTGAAGGTGGCGAATCGAGCGGGAGAGGTGAGAGGAACCGGTGTACCTGGATGTGGGGGCACACCGGGCACATATGGAAAAGGGAAGGCGGGGCAGARCRCCACGGCGATAAGAACGGGACGAAGCGGGGCCACTGAGGTAGACGAAAGCAGGGTGGKGACKTSAGCRCGGGGGAGTGAACCTGGACGCRGTTCGCGCCAGGATACAGGCGGAGGTGAACAGCGGGGCGACGGGCGRCCAGATAGTGCAACGGCATGGCGGACGTTGTGCGATAGTCAAGCCGGACAGTGGAAGATGCYGTGCAGGGGCTACGGGCTGGCAGCGTAGCTGGCTACGAGAGAGGGGAGACGGAATGACCCGGGACGGGACCCTGYGGCAGGTGCGTRMGGGGCGAGGAGGATCGTAGTGCGGCTGCGACTTGCGGAGCACTCGTCAGGGGTAGCAACAGAGGTGGTAAGCAGCASCGGGCGAGGTGACGACGTGGCGAGTAGCGGGTAGAAGAGGAGGAGATGAATCTGGATGCATTCTTGCGCCGGATTTGTTCGGGGGAAGAGTGATGGAGGAATGAGTCGGGCGCAACTCAAAGGTTGTAGCGCCCTCGATTCTAAACGGAATCGTGAAGGGAAAGAGTCGAGGTGGGGGCTTTTGAACAGGGCGATACTTGGTTCTAATGATACTTTTACTGACAGGTTAGTAGATTAGGCAGTTAGTAAGATTGGAACTGCGCGGAGCCATAGCGGAGTGAGGGGGAGAGGGTGAGTGAACCTGGTCGCGAGGGTGTGCCGGATACGTGCGAGGGCAAGGGGAAGACAGGCAAACGGATCCGAGCGGGGGAGGGAGCCGGGTGCATGGGGATGCTACGGGCTACGATCGAAGCAGGGAAAGCCGGCAGCGAGCAGCGAGGTAAGGCGGTGACAAGCGCTCGGGCCGGGCAACGGGTTGGGTCAGCGAGGTGGCGAAGTAAGCCGAATAAACYTGGGCGCTAAATCGCRCYAGGTAYATTCGAACTTGAGTAAGGAAAGGTAGCGCAGYAGAGAGCCGGGGYGCARCGAGGGAGGACGGGGCCGTGCCCTGCCTCGCAACTGTTGAGAGTGGGAAGTGTGGGCTGGGAATCAACGGTGTATCTTCCCGCCTTGCAGTAAGAGATTCATCCGGAGTGATATACT